TCGATGGCTCAGGCTTTCTGCGATTATTAGCACAACAGTTAGAGTTGATTTTGTGGAAATCTACCGAATGACTGCCAAAACTATTACAGTAAATGGGTGGAAAATATTATGACACATTTCAAGCTTGAAATTTTAAAATACACCACAAGGGGCAAAGCTGGGTTTTTCTTCAAGTCTGGAAAGCTTCTTCTGTCCTACTTGAAACCAAACTCTCCCTCCTCAGTGTACCAAGCACATTTTGTTTGATTATCTGTAGGTATATTTTGTCAGTGAAGGTGATAGTGTTGTTTTTGGTGACCTGGGTTATCTTGAAATGTGAGTACATTCCCATGTCATAAATAAATAAATAGAAATAAATAGAATAGAATAGAATAGAATAGAATAGAATAGAATAGAATAGAATAGAATGTGCTCTATGCATTCAATGTACACTGGCTGGAAGGTTGCATGGCATTATGTGTGTAAACTGTACAGGATTGCTGAGAAAATTGTTGACTGTGTGTATTGTTTAGTCTACATGTGGCTTGCCATGTTTAAACTCATGCACTCTGACTGAAGTGTTGCTGTGTGTGTTGTCTTTGTTGTGGGTGTGTTGGCAGAGTTATGCCAGATGACTAAGAGGAAAAGCACTTGCTGATGCTCTGAAAAAGGCATCAGCACAGAGGTGAAATGCACTCAGCCTTGCATTGCTTTAACATGCTGTGAAACACATGGAAGCTGTATTACTGAGGGATTTACATGTCATTTTAGTGGTTGAAAGAGTTTGAGTTTCAGCACAGCTAAACTGATGCAAAGCTTTGGTTGTATTTGTATTTCAGCGTTGGTTGTTTTATAACCATGCATTTATCCATTTATACAACAGAAGTGAGTACATCAAGTATGTGAAAAATGGGTAAGAACATTTAATATTTTAAAAATCTGGATTGCAAGATGGCTCAGTGGTTAGCACCATCGCCTTGCAGCGAGAAGATCCCTGGTGAGGACACCTGGGATCTTTCTGTGTGGAGTTTGCATGTTCTCCCCGTGCAGTGTGGGTTCTCTCCGGGTTCTCCAGCTTCCTCCCACAGTCCAAAAAACATGTTGAGGTTAATTGGTGATTCTAAATTGTCCGTAGGTGTGAATGTGAGTGTGCTTGTTTGTCTGTCTCTAAGTGTAGCCCTGTGATAGACTGGTGACCTGTCCAGGGTGTCCCCTGCCTTCACCCTTAGTCAGCTGGGATAGACTCCAGCCCCCCGTGACCCTAATGAGGACTAAGCGGTGTATAGATGATGGATGGATGGATGGATTTTAAAAATCTAAATTGTATCACCTTATAGTAATTGCATAATTTCTACCATAAACAGTAGGGTGCTTTCTCCTATATAAAAATAAAAACAGTTTAAATGTATTATAGTAAAGCAGGTCCTGTCAAAGGAAATTGATGCAACTAAAGTCAGTACATTACTGAGATTTAAATATTTTATTTTTCCAATACTTTGTGTGTCCACATTCATTTTTGATAACAGACTCAATCCCCCTCAGCATGGAGGATACCACATTTCTAGAGGGATGTTCTGCATTCCTTAGAGACATATTTTAAGACTGTTTTTTTTTTCCTCTCTCTGCTGGAAGGATTGTGCTTTCCTATCTTTTTCACTGAATTTCCCCAAAGGTGTTCTATTGGTTTTCACTTGCTCATCTGTTTTTCAGAGGTTGCTTGTGCAAACAACTCAATATCTGTGGTATCATTTTAGAAGAACCCCCGCTTTGACTCTATGGCTCTCTCTAAACCTCCTGATTCAATGTAATTCAATTCAGTTGTATTTATACAGCACCAGTTCACAACACGTCATATCACAGCACCTCACATAGGATTGGGATGACCTTACAAAGTTTCAAGAAAAGAAACCTAACAAATCCAGAGTTCCTTTGGATTACCATTGAGCAAGCATTTGGCAACATGATTGTTGCAACTGTGTTTTAACTGAATTTAATTGGTTATATCCATTCATCCATTATCTATACACCGCTTTATCTTCAGTGGGACTGGAGCCTATCCTGACTCAGGGCAAAGGCAGGGGACACCCTGGACAGGTCACCAGTCTATCACAGGGCTACACAGAAAGACAACCAAGCACACTCACATTCACACCTACAGACAATTTAGAATCACCAATTAACCTCAACATGTTTTTTGGACTGTGTGGGAGGAAGCTGGAGAACCCGGAGAGAACCCACGCTGCACAGGGAGAACATGCAAACTCCACACAGAAAGAGCCCGGGTGTCCTCACCGGGATGCAAACCGGTGACCTTCTTGCTGCGAGGCAACGGTGCTAACCACCGCACCACCCTGCAGCCCTAGTTGGTTACAGATCTTTTGATATTTTTTCCATCTTTGTGAAGTCTCACAATCAAATTTTTCAGTTCCTCTGGCATTTTTTTTTCATGTGGAGCCATGATGCTGACATGGAGATGGACCCAACATATAGGTCAAAAGTGTGTTATTGAGTGTCGACAAAAGAGAAGATATTCTACTTGCTACCTTTAAAATGATGCAAATATTGAGAGGTGACACAATTTTTAATTATTTAATAGTGCCAAGGGTGCACTCACATCTGTCATATAATGTAGATAGAAGACTTTGGTTTTAAAGGGAAACACCAGCTTTTTATCACTGCTCTTAAGTAAAGTTGGGGACCAAGTGAAGGACACATTTCAAGACGAGTGGTCAAAATTAATACAGCATACATCATCACGTCATAATGTAACATATTTATGTGGACGTGTCATAAAGGATGAGACCGAACACAGAGTAGAATCATTGTATATGAGGCTACATATACTTTAAAATGTAGGCAGTTTTGTCCTTGTCCATTCATTGTGACTCTATTGCAACAAGACTTGTGGTATGGAGTTCAGAATTTGATGACCAAAACCACCATTGACTCCAATTCTATCTGAACTCTGAAATTTGTTGGGAAATTGTCCGTGTTTTTAATTAGTAACAGCTTCTATACAATACACAGTAGGTATGTGAAATTCAGTCAGTGTCTTTGATGCAACCCCTATTACAAGATTTTTTCAATTCAATTCCATTTTATTTGTATAGCGCAGTTTACAACATATGTCATCTCACAGCCTTAACATAGTAAGGTATAGACCAGATTAGTTTAAACAGAGAACCCAACAATCCAGAGTAGCCTTTGGACTTCCTCTGAGCAAATGGTCGGCAACAATATCTGTACTTTTCAAGCAGTGACAGGTTTTCGAGAAGTTTGCCTCTGTTTACATTAGTGGGCAGACTTAAGGTGTCGTGGCTCAGTCTGCTGACTGTGGCCAGTGAAGG